GCACATCCTGTCAGCCCGGGGAGCTGTGTCAAATGTATTTGAATATATTCAACACTTTAGCCAAATATTTGAAATACATTTTGATGTCTGCCGACTTTTGCATAATTTATGCATGTGTGCAAAAATGCTAATAGCCTACGAGCTATAACTCAGGCCCCCCCCCCCCCTCTCCTCAACCCCTTCTCAGACCCGTCCTTGCCGCAGGAGAGTTTATATTTTTCAATCAGTGTCACAGCTCTCGACAGCTTGTGATAAGTTTTATTGCCATATTCCCAATGTGGCGACTGGCATTCTTTAATTGCTTTGAATTTCATTAGATGCCGTAACATAAAACAAGTGAAGGCGCTTTAATCAAGAGCACTCGACTGGAAAATACCCTGTACTCTGCCTGCAAACGATATATGGTACAGAACAAAAGGAAAAGTTTTCAGAATATTTGTTTTTATTTTGGTTTAAGCTGGAGGTAAAAGGAGGGGGAGAGAGGATAATGATATACGAAAAACCACGGCTCTTATAATTTTAGATATATTCTAAACGAATTCTAAGTTCCAAAGTTTTTCCATTTGTCAAGAACAAACTAGACATGACCAATATATATATATATATATTATGACGTCGATGAGTTTCCATCTGCCTGTTATACACATTTTCACAAAATGATTGTTGCCATTTTTACTCATTTTTAATGGGTACAGAGTTCATAAAATTTAGGGCAAACCTCAAATGTAAAACCTCAATTAAATAGAAACTTAAATAATTGTTAAGCCAATGACAAACATATATACACCAGTATGTATATATACGTATATGTATGTATATTCAGCTTTGTGCAACCAACAATAATATTTTCTTTAATTATTTCCCTTCAACAAATGTGCAAAAATATTTTGATAAATTACGGCAAAAGGTCTGTGGTAAAAGTTTTCCAGGTGCCGAGCAAAATATAGATATAGAAAGTCTATCTTTGTTGCAAATGACACTGTACCTTTGCGGCGTCTGTCGGCTTTAGCCTTGGCTCAGTACTTGTGTACTTGCAAATTGGAATGCAAAAAGAGACCGGGTTCAAAATATGTACTCGTAAATTTGTAAAACTTGCGGCTTTTGCCCGCAGGGAATTCAGTTGTGCTTACGTCAATCATTTCTGCTTGACTGCGCCCTAACGAGTCTCGAGCTTACATTAAAGTTTACATCATTAAGGCGGCCATTGCGGCTAATCGAAACTTATCGATAAATGCAGTTGCCAACTAACGTAAACTAATCCTGCTAGACTGTCATATCACTCTGTCAAAATATATACGTTGAATTGAATGCATGTTCAAAGCACAGACACTGTCAAATAAACGTCTAGCATATTTAGGCAGCATTAAGTCTATCTTCAGATTAACTGTAACTGTCAAAATATTGCATGAATCATGAATCATACTATTATTTTCATATAATGGGACATAAATTTGACAGTGCTGGCAGCCTTGGGAAAATTACAGTCACAAAAATAAATACATATTAGTAGAAAGATGACATTGATAGAGTGAAGTACAAAATATACAAAAATATCCTCACAGTGTTTAAATAATATACATTTTTGTTGGTTTCACAACACTAAATATCATGAAAACAACTTACAACCCTGCTCAAATATGTGCGACAAAAACGATGTTTTTAACGGTCCCACAGAGCAGTAATTCCTAAATTTCATAAACTTAATTGGATAAGTTAAAAAAAACAAAAATAGTTTAACCTATGTTTGAAAAAACATGAAAATCAGTTAGCCTTTCTATCCGATTTTCATAAATTGAAGTAATGCTGAAACTATTACTGAATTTGAGGAAGAGTAGGAGTAGGAGAACTTGAGTAAATGTACTGTACTTATTTATTTTAGCCCACATTAAACAACACAGTTTTGATCTGAGCAAAGCATACGCCAGCAGTTGTCATATTAGATGACTCCAAAAACAATCTCAGCTGGATTGCCGGCAACCAAATGAATATAAAACATTTGGCATAGCTATGAGAGAGTAGGTTGCATGCAGGGCGTGGCAGGGGGCACGAGAATATATGTATGCATATATGTATATAGTGTATGCACCGAGCTCTTCTGGCGTGCTGAATTCAAGTTGAGTCAGCGCTGACTTCAGGCCGCAAATATTTTAAGCAAATTGATGCCGAGTGTCTAGGAACGAATCTTAATGAATCATCGAAAGGGCGTGGCAACTGCCTTTAAATCGAAGTTAATATTGAATATTGAAAGCACACCGAAGCGGAATTCACATTTAAATAAATATATTTCAAAGTGATCCCGCAGGAAATTTGCATGGTATATGATTTACGTGTCATTTAATCGCTTTGTATCTTAAGGATACATTGCAAATGGTTGCACATATTTTTCATTTTATTCCTTTTGCCGCCCGCTGCTATTTTTTACGTTCATTTTTTATAATTTTTACATTTTTATCTCCTGTGTTCCGCGCAGAACATTAAAAAAATTATTTTAAACGAGGCGTTGAAGCGAATTTATTTTATGACTCATGTGCGGCTTTTTGTATCTTGCAGCAAACAGCTATGCGATTCAGCACAACTGCCACAACGACAACAATAATCACAACAACAATCACAACAACCACAACTGCAACTTAATTGGCGCGCGTGTCAAAGAGGTGAGTTATAGACGAGAAGCAATTGAAAAAATGGCCACAAATCTCGAGAATCGTGTTGCTAAAGATGCTTTGTGTAAAATGTCTGGACGCAATTTGACTGTGGGGCATGCCACAAGTGGCTAAAAACGTTGCCACTTGGCGTCAGGTGTGGGCAAAACGTGTTCGCAGCCAAAACCATAGAAAAGCCTGCTAATTGTTTGTTTTTTATTTTTTCAATTATACCCTGACTTATTGCAAACAAAGGGTATGATAAGACAATAGGAAGGAGGTGTATTTAATTATGATAAACATGCCTGTGTCATAATAATAAATAATAATAAAATGTTATCAAGTGAAAATTGTGGTGAAGCTGTTAAATTCAGAAGGAGCTAAACACTTAACAAAAAGATAAAAATTATCGATTAATTATCGATTGAATAATATAAATATGATGAAGAATGTTCTTGTCATGTGTAACGATATTCTCATAACTGTTATCGATTCTCTTAAAGTCAGAGTTGTGAGAACTTCAGACATATATAAGGCCTATGCATAAAAGTAAATGAGATATATGTAAATCCCATGAGAATTGCAAGGCCAGGCACAGTTCAGGGTCGTACCTCTTGAGCATATGGAGAAAATGTCAATGAAAGTTTAAAATTTATTTTCAACAATTTCTATAACCTATTAAAAAATCTATTTGATATCCGTTTCTTTGATGATATAAATGGTTTTAAGATTTTCTTAGAAATACCCGAGTATTTTAAAATCGGGCGACTCGTCCGCCGTTATTTCCAAGTCAAGAAGCCTTAAATTCACTTTTCTTCTAAGTATTACCTTTCCGTCTTTCTTGTTGTTGCCTGTCTGCGGCTTATTTTATAAATTACGGCGTCCTCACGAAGGGCGGGCAAAGGGCCTTCTGGGCCAGAATGTGGAGGATTACAGCTGTCAGCTGTGTGTGTGTGTGTGTGTGTGTGTGTGCATGTGCGTGTGTATTTGGAGAAGCTACCGACTTCGCAACGTTATAATGCAACGTCGTCGCCCACATTTGCGTGTGATGGGCGTGGTTGGCTTGACTTTGGCCTGGGAAAGGTCAACGTCTGCAGGCGCAGGCATCGCCGGAGGCATCCAATGTCGAATGGGGCACCAAAATTTACATTTAATTAGACATAATTGTAGCAATTTATAGGGCCATTTGTTTTAGACTCTTTGGTACGGGGCAAATGCTTTAAAGTGATTCATTGTAGCGTCATTTTGTGTCGTGATTTTGTAACGAAATTGTAGAAAGTGTCTGGAAATACAAATTTAATTGCATTATAAATTCAATTACACGGCTCTTATCTATATTTGAAATGAACTGTTTGGAGGCCATTTGTATTTCTTGAAAATATTAAATTATCCAATTCGATATTTCATTTTGTTTGATTAACTTTAAAAAAGATATCTATATATTAAGGTTATGTTATTATTGCAACACCCTTTAAATCTAAGATTTTTCCAACTTTCTACTGTAGACATGATGACCATTGGGTTCAGGTTGCTTATATCTTCCATTAGAGGTGTATTCTTCCCAAAGGCCTACTTTGTCCTCTAAGTAGAGAGTAATATTTGTCCATGCACAGAAGCAAGCCCTAGTTGATCTGGCGTGGCGCCCACATCTCCAACTGACAACCCTTAAACCCTCAAAAGTGCTCGACTATGAGGTACCCTGTGCCAAATACACTCTCAGGGCAGAACACTCATATTAGTTCTTATTCATTTTTACTCTCTCGTTTAACAATACTATTCTAATATTTTCTATTATCCTATCATTCGTTGCAATTCCACGTTTATGCTATATATATTTTAGACATTTTAGTTAACTGTCAACTGAAAACGGATCGAGTACAAGTTGATTTCGACCTCGAGTATTGGCTTAGAGCCCATTCACAGCTAGCTGCAGGTCCATTATTTATTAATGCTTGACTCTGATAAACACACACACACCCACACACACACATACGCTCAAGTACATTACTAAAATATCATTAGGATCTATCCTTGCCTGTCTAAAGTAATTTCCTCGCAAAACTATTTCCATTGCTGAACTTGTGGCCTCCGCCAAAGGTAGCCAGCAGCAAAAACAACAACAGTGCCAACAACAACATTGACAACATTTGCTGTGGGCTGAAATGGAGGCACTTTGCACGGTTCGAACCTTCGTCGGGGGCAAAACTTCTCCTCTGCTCATATCAATATTTGGCCGCATTTAATTGCAATTCAATTTGAGTTTTCAATGAAAAAAAAAACTGTGCCAACAACAACAACCCACACGCCGCCCGTTTTCTGCATATGGGAGGCGTGGCACTTTACATGATACAAGAGAAATTTCTGATTCGCTTTTTATTTAATGTATTTTTTTTGTTTTTCCGTTTGCATTTCGATAGTCTCGCTGCTGTAAGCTTGTTGGGCAGTTATCCTTGAAATTTGATTGCGACACGAGGCGGGGCTGCGGGGAACTGGTATATATGGCCAAAGGCGTGGCATGCGGGGGGGGCGGCATGTTTAATATTTGATCACGTGAAATGCGGGGCAACTGCAATATGGCAACTGCTTGTCAATGGCAAATACCAAATGTCGTGTGTTTATTTACGAAGATGTGAGTGTGCGTGTGTGTGTGTGTGTGTGTGTGTGTGCTTGTGAATGCGAGCAGCAGTTATTAGCAGAATATGTTGCATTGCCTGAAGCGGGGCTGATGAGGGGAAAGTGGCTGACATAGAAGAATTTTCAGTGCGTTAGTCGAATTTGTAGCCAGTTTATTGGTTTTGCCAATCTCTCGCAGTTGAAAAAGCCAATTGGTATTTATGCATTTCATTTTGAATTTTGATCAACAGACAACTGAAATCACAACAGCCGTGCTTTGTATGTCGATAATAAGACTCTAGGCTATAGAAAAACGATTGCATTAAATATCTTTTGAAATTTTCGGATTTTAAAGCACCAACTTGTGTTCTTTGGAAGGCCGAGTGAAGTTTTTTTGTTGGTTAATGGAATCTATCGGCATTCCACCCAGCTCAAAAAGAAATATTGATTAATTTCGTACGTTCACTTATAAAATTGATTTAAAAGCCGATGGGATGACAATTTTACACTAATCTATGTAAACTTGAACACTCACGTTACACACAAGTTGTAGGATAAGCCCACATATTTACCAAGATCTTGTATGGATCTTATAAAATCAGTTCGAAGTCGGTTGGACAAGCCACCAATTATTTTCCCTCAATGGTTTCCATGTATATTTCACTCCTGTGGGTGAAATTCTTGGAAAAACTTGCAAAAGCTGGTGAAATGAACCACATGATACATCAATCTTTTCAGTTTTCATAGTCCAGTCTGTGAAATGTTACCCTCTAAGTTCACGATTTGTACAAACTGTATCTGAATCGATTTGTATTGTTTTACACTGCTGTTATCTGATGAATGAGAACTTTAACATTGCTTTACATTTATAATTTATTTCATTTTATTTTTTTCTTATTCACTCCCTCTAAGCTGTTTTGATCAATCATTTCAACATTGATTTATTTGACCTTTGCTGCTTGGCAGCAAAAGTGCAACTACTCGAGAGTTGCCATTCAATATTGCATTACGCTTCCTATGCTCCCTGTATACTTTCCCGTACTCATGCCTTCGCATCAATTTCTTGGACAGCTCCTTCTACTTCATCTAAGTACCTTCTACCTAATAGCAAACATATTTGAGCACTTTTCGTTCAGCCTCCCTATCCAGTCCCTGTCCCGGGGCCGCGCTCCAATGAAAGCTGTTGCCCAACTTGAGCGATTTATTTGCTTTAACATAATGCAGGTCACAGCTCAGTCCCACCCTTTCCCCCGGACAGCCCGCCCACCACAAAAACAAACCTAAAAGTCAATAGCGCAAAATATATAAACCCGAGCAAAACTCGTAAAAAATCATTTCTTATTTATTTGAGCGCTGAGCGCGGAATGAAATATTGTGCAGGCAATGAAATTACATTTTTCCTGTTATTTTTTTTTCTTTTCGTGGGCGTCATTAGCGGTGCAGATGCTGTGGCTTTCAAGAGGGGGGCTTAGAAAAGGCGAGGAGTGTAGCAGATTCCGCCTGTCGATGCAGCGTAAATATTTGCACAAATCTAATGAGCACTTGTGGGTTGCGGTTTGAGGATGTGAAGTATGTGAGAACCTAACGATGACACTTGAAAAGGTTCTCAAAAAAAAAAAAATATCCCAAACAGAAATCAAGCAAGAGTATTCTGGAAGTTACCTCTTGATAAATCTCGTCCTTTAAATAAATATTTATATTTCGATGAAAAACTCTTTGGATAAAAAAGGATAGATCTTTGCGGAACTAGCTTAGATATAAGCAATTGCTTTTGTCTTAAAATATATTTCTTATAATCTACAACATCTATAATAAGATGTGAGGTGAGAAATATCAAATATCGATTTGGTAAAAATAAACCATTCAGATCTGCTGTTTATGAGTCTTAAAGTCCCGAATTATCGAATAAACGATATTTTTTGGTAAAGCAAAAATGTAAATTTAAATAACATTATCCTTTAATGAAGTACGAAAATCGATAATACGACTTTAAGGCGTGTTGCCTCTAAGATCGTCATACTTTATTATATACAACTTTGATATACCCTCTCTAACAATTTCTTATCGCTAAAGGGTATACAAAATGAGAAAGAAACAGAAGGCGACAGACACAGAAATACGAGTATCTTTTATACATTTGCAGTACCAGCTCTCCGAGAAGGCGACCCGCCTTCTACACCAGTTCTGATAAGAAACTCGAGTACTTTGGCTCTGTACCTTGGCCCCGCCCACAGTTCAGCCTGCTTGCCCTTTGGGCCAGAGGCCAAGTCATGTTGGCTCGCTGCGCATTGTTCCATTGGTAATATGAAGTAGCTTCTCTTCTCCCCTCTTGGCCCACACATATCATGCTATCCACCCTATTGCACATGTGTGTTTTCCTTTCGGGCCATGGCCATTGTGTGTTTCAGTTGTGTGTTGCCCCTGTCCCACCGTATCCATAATCTTAGTTATGAGCATTCTGCTTGTTGTCCTTCGCCTGGTTCATCCTGCTGCTGCTGCCTCAATGTGACTACCGTGGAGACTTTCCAGCCAAAAAAAAGCGGGCATGTCAACTTTGTGATGCAAGCATACTGCTCACTTGCAGGTGCAGAATAGATAATAAACATACAACAAAGTCATTAAATATTATAATTAACAAAAATTATGTGTTGTTTTTAATTGAGCTATAAGTTTGCCTTTTAAAGTTAATAGACTACAAATCTTAGCATCATTAGATCCCCTGCAATTGGTGTCAGTGTTGTAAAACGACTAAGTCAAAGATCACACTATATGCAATGTATATATAATATTGTATATAATAATATTGTATCAATTTGAAGAAAAATTTATGTTAGCATTTAATCACAATTATCTAAGCTATGAATAAATGGGATTTATATGGATTCAAATTAATTTTATTGGAGTTATAAAAAATAAATATCTAAAGCCTGATGCCAGCTTGTTTAGCAGTGTTGCAAAACGAATGGTTATTCAATATAATTTCAAACACTGATTTATAGTCGATAAATGTCTAGAGCCAATGACAGCCAATTGACTGCCAGTGTTGTGTAACAAGTAAGATTAAGAGAGATTTTCTTTAAGTACACAAGTTCCGGATCATTCAAAAAAGAAAGGGTGTGCACTATTGATTTGTTTTGCTTTTATTTTTTCAATCCGCTTTCCTGTCTTTACCATAGCCATTGGCGCTCGAATATTGCGTTTGCCAGTCGCGGTTACGAGTCGACTTTACTGATATCCTTTTCTGGAGTCCTTTCGCCTTGTGTTTGTTATTTTTGACCACTGGCACTTCATTATGCGTGTTCATACATTACCAGTTTACGTGTTTTTTTATCGCATTCCGCTGCCTCATCGCTGCCTGCATTATTCTCGCCTGATTAAATTTTGAACTTCGGGGCAGGGTTTCTGAGACGTTTTCTCACGCGCGCACACGCGAGTTTCTCCATTTTGGCCAGCTCCTTTTCTGGCCCTAATTGCATATTTTGGCCTTAAACGTCGCGGTTATTTTGTGCCGAGCTTGTTGTTGTTATATTTGATGCTGAACCTATTAATTGTGCAATTTAATTTGGTGTTGGCCGAGTCAATTTCAAAGGGCCATTTTAGCTGGCCAGTTCACGTTCATCCACCGATGCGTTTCTGTCACTTAAGCCAATGTTCTTTGGAGCCCTTGGTTTTCCTATTGAATCCCGATTTAAGCCACAAACACGTACAAGAACAAAATAAAATTGGCCATGCGAATCCGGTTAAGATATTCGAGCGGCTTGTTGAGCCACAGCTTGTGGCTTCCTTGTGGGTGCCTCAAGATTAATCCTAATGATAGTTATGAATTTGTTCGTAGATGTTTGTGGCAGTTAATACGCAGCAATTTGTTAAGCCTCCGCTTGCTGTTACCCTAAATTGGCAAAGCATTCAAGATATGTTATTAATAAATTACCCTCATTATGTATATTATCCCTATTATTTCGTTTAAATTTCTCTTTAACATTTCTCACAGTTTATGTATGAATACATTGAAATCGAACCCGTTTTTTTTTATTTGCCAGGCCTTGGATTTAGAGAGAGAGAGAGTGAGAGAGAGATAGAGAGATAGAGAGAGAGAGAGAGAACGGATGAGTATTATATATTATAAGCCAAAATACGAATATTTAATTATTTACTCCTAAAGAAAATGTTAATTCCAACTTTAATTAACATTTCAAAAATTCGCATTACTATGAAAGACTTAATTTTTGGAAGTTAAAAAAGTATTGAGGTCTATCATTTACAAATTCATATTTCATTGTAATTTATCAGTATATTTTTAAGCAGCCATATTTCATTTGAGCTCTGTTCAATTCGGTCTCATTTGTATAAAGCCGCCGTCTTTCATATGCTTACAACTTTGAAAGGTCTTCGCCCCGTTGAGTATATAACCTAAAACGATTCTTGGGACCAAAAGCCCAACACTTCAGCTGCCCGCACAGCGGTCTCCTTGCGGCCGCCTGCGAGAACTTATTGAATTTCCCGCCTAATTTACTTGGTTAATATATATATATATATGTATTAAATGTGTATATGTGAATGTATGGAGACTTGTATTCATAAGCGAGCGTTTTGTGCGCTTAACCGCATTGCGTATACGTAACGTAATTTATAACTGCCAGCACACAGCCACACACACCCACACACATACAAACACGCACAGGCGCGTACATGAAGAGGCCGGGAAACTTTTTGAAACACCCTCAAACATTTGAAATGAATGGGCGCCTCTTGAGGCCCCCTTGCCTCAAGCATGTTAGCCCGGTCCCTGCCTGGGGGTAGCTTATTAGTCTTATGTTATTTCTGTTGTTGTTGTTGACGTTGCGGTTCGCGGCTCAAATCCAATTTCGAGTCGTTGTTACCGAAAAACTTTTCGCTCTGTGTTTGAGCAGATGACAAGAACTCAGAGAAATATGGGCACAGAATACGCAGTTCGCGTTTCATGTATTTGACTTTTAATAAAACCAACTTTCGACAAGTCGCGATTCATAACCCAACTTTTCAAATATGATCCGGTTCTGCATGGTAAACACTTATTAAGTGCCTGCGAACATGGTCACCGGCATGGAGCCGCCAACAATTCCATTCCCATGCCCGGCATAAGCCACAGTGGCATTCCTTCCTACCCGCCAAACTCCTTGGCCTCTATACAAGTCAGGCTCAGAATAAAAACTTGTTTTACAGCATTTCTTTTTTTTTTGTATTTTTTGTTTTCGAGTATTTGGCTGAGCCACTCGATATGGCAGAACGTGTCGAAAAGGAGACTCACCAACAGAAGCAATACAAGCAACCAAAAGGTTTTTATGACTGTGCGAATTCGTGATGCCCTTTACAAAACTCAGACTGCTCAGAACTTTAAATACATTGCTCTATATTGCCAGCAATAAATTTTATGAGTTCATAGACTCCACTTTATCCTTTACATTTAACCCATTTTTATGTTATTCTCTTCTATTTTATTATATTA